TCTCAGGAAGAGATTTGTTGGGTAAAGCTGACTTCGTTGCTGGTGAGCTTTAACTACCCATCTATTGTGCACAGTTCAAGATCCCATCAGCACAGCAAGTCAGTCCAGTTCCCAAAACAGCTTTCTCTCTCTTTTCTTTGTGTTTTGGTGGACGAAGTTTTAGTGTGTGAAGCCGACTCCTTTACAAGTCAGCTATAAGTCACCCATGTCTTGTACACAGCTCGATATCCCTTTAACGCAGAAAGACAGTCCAGTTTCCAAAACAGTTTTCGCAAACTTCTCTTTGTTTTTCGGTGGACCAGGTCTTAGCATCCCAGATCAAGACTGAGGAAGAGATTATGTGAGTACAACTGACTTCAATACAGGTCTGCTATTAGTCATCCATAACTGTAGCCTGTACTTTCAGAGGCGAGGGCCAGACAGATTTTCACGCCATTAGTTAAATGAAGTATCTTAGAATGGTTGTGTGAAAGTTACCAATTTGTTGTGGCAGCAAACATGATGTAAATGATAACATTTGATCCGCAGCAAAGTATGAGTAACTTTACTCATATTTTGTAAACAAAAATTAAAGCAAATCAGTACATTTACGCAACATTTGCTCTCGATCAAATTCTAATCAAGCAAATGTGCGAGTTTGCACCCACTTAACTCGCCAGTGCCAATTCAGTTTAAATATGGTACTCTAAATTTGCAATACCTTTGCTCGGTTTGCAAACATGAGAAAATCCATTTTTTCGTCCAGTGTATCTGATAAAGATACTTCCTACGTGATCAAAATGTGTAGCCACGCATAGCTACCTTTAATTAACTACAAATTTGAACGTTATTCAAATTGAAGTCTACTGTGATGCTTACTGTATGGAACACCTGAAGTTGAGTTAGCATTAATTACCTACCTAGCTTTCTAGCCATATTAGTCTCGGTTATTTTGACAGCCTCCTCGACGAAAGCTCTGGATTTCTTTTCCCTTTTATCAAGCATTTTCTCCACAGTTGTTTCAAAGCGGGCTTCTTGGGAATTGATGGAGTGATGATGGTAGAGTGCCCCTATAACAACCACTGCCGCGATAACCCAGTAAGTAAACCATTCTCTAGCAATAAAGCTGTTCAGTAATCTCCTTGAGAATCCAAATCTCTGGTTATTAGTAATTTGGTTTATGTCGACTCTTTCTTGAGTATCGGTCATTGTTCAAAGCATAGTTAAACTCAATTAACTATGTTCAAAGCGAAAGCGTAAAATGTAACGCACATCATTTGAAGAAGGAAGGTGTTGCGTGACCAACATCCATCAAACATTATACAAGCCTTGGTTCTCAGTAACCGAGCAGGAGGTCTGTATGGGAGACTCTTGAACGAGGTCGCTAGTACAGACCGAGGTCAAGATTGTCCCAAGCAGACCGACCTAGCTCAGTTAATAAGATGTTTATTATATGGCTGTGTCTTTATGCCAATTTTTTATATTCTTTGTACCTTTTTTTTTCTTGACCGGTCTAGGTGCCGGTCTAGATGGAAAATCTAGACCGCTTTCAATATTGATTTTAGCCAATGAAATTCGTGAATTCGGTAGTTCCCAGTCCTTGTGAGACACAGCCATATAATAATAAGAGTTATTGATCAAGCTTAAAATCAAGATGGTTGGAAATCGGCCGAGTTTTTTCTTTTCTTTTGCCTTTTTATGGACCGAGACGAAGTCAAAGCTACGTAAAAATTCAAAACGAGAACGAGACTACAAAATTTGAGTTTTCGATGCAATTGAGAAGGGATAACATCTTAACGAGCTTCTTGTGGCATGACAGTTTCTCCACAGAATAATTTTCCAAATAAAGAGGAGCGAACCAATGAGAAAGCAGTAATGATTGTGAGCTATGACGAGCCTCCTACTCAGGAGAGGCAGCGGATGTGATCACCGTGCGGTCCTCCAGTTCTTCTTAACGCACAGGAAAATTTATTGATGAGCGACCTGTTTACTTATTTACTGCTCTCTACAAGCACGTATTTCAGGAAAATAGTCTATG